CTGGCATTTAAACCAGGAAGTCACCAGTTTGATTCCAGGGATGCGGGCTCGATCCCCAGTAGGAGGCATGCAGAAGGCAGCTGATCCATGATGTGTCTATGCCTGTATCCCTCTACCTCCCTCTCTCTCTAAAAATCAGTAAAAACATAATTAAAAAAAAGAAACGTCCAAAATATTCAAACACATGGAAGCTAAATAGCGTGTTGTTAAACAATGGATGGATTACCAATTAGATCAAGGAAGAAAAATAATTACCTGGCAACAAATGAACACACAACAAACCCAAATCTATGGGACACAGCTAAAATAGTCCTGAGAAGAAAGTTCATAGCATTACAGGCCTACCTCAAGAAGCAAGTAAAATCTCAAATAAACATTTTCACCCTTACACCCAAAAGAAGTAGGAAAGAACAACAAACAAAGCCCAGAGTAAGTAAAAGGGAAGATATAATAACATCAGAGTGGAAATAAATGACACAGAGACTGAAAAATACAACAAAACAAAAATCTGTGAAACCAAGAGCTAGTTCTTTGAAAAGATAAACAAGTTTGATGGACCTTTAGCTAGACTCATCAAGAAAAAAAGAGAGAAGACCCAAATAAATAAAATCACAAATCAAAGAGGAAAAGTTACAGAAATAGAAAGGATTGTAAGAAAATACTATGAACAACTATATACCCACATCTTGGACAGCCTGGGTGAAATGGACAAATTCCTGCACACATATGATATTCAAAAACTGAATCAGGAAAAATAAAAATAAAACTGAATAGACTGATAACTAATAAAATTGTAACCAAAAAAATAAGATTCATAGGAATAAACTTAACAAGGAGGTAAAAGAGCTATATTCAAAAAACTATAGATATTGAAGAAAGAAATGGAGAAAGATACAAACAAGTGGAAACATATACCATGTTCACGATAGGAAGAATTAACATCATTAAAATGTTCATACTTCCCAAAGCAATCTATAGATCAGACACAATTCCCATTAAAATACCAATGCCATATTTCATACATCTAGAACAAATAATCCCCAAATTTAAAAAGTCCTTGAATAGCATCAGCAATCTTCAGAAAGAACAAAGTTGGGGGAATCACAATAGCAGATATCAAACTATACTGCAAATTTATTATAATCAAAACAGGCTGGTACTAATATAAGAATAAGCATATAATTCAATGGAAAGGACAGAGAACCCAGAAAGCAACTCATGCCTTTATGGTCAATTAATATTCAAAAAAGGAAGCAAGAGCATATAATGGAATAAACACAGTCTCTTTAATATACTATAAATGATGTTGAGAAAATTGGACAGGTACATGCAAAACAATGACACTAGACCACGAACATATGCCAAACATAAGAATGAACTCAAAATGGATAAAAGACTTAAATGTAAGTCACCAAGACATAAAACTCTTAGAAGAAAACATAGGAAATAAAATCCCAGACATCTTGAGTAGTAATATTTTTACCAATATATCTTTTATAACAAGGGAAACAAAGGGAAAAATAAATAAATGGAACTATATCAAACTAAAAAGCTTCTGCATAGAAAAAAAGAAAAGTCACAAAATACACACAAACATCAACAAAATGAAAAGGGAACCCACTGTATGGGAGAACATATTTGCCAATGATACATCAGATAAGGGGTTAATTTCTGATATATATAAAGAACTTATACAACTCAAAACCAGAAAGCCCAACAGCTTGTAGATCTGCTCCTTCAGGTCATCTGACATCAATTTCAGCCAGGTGGAGACTCTGAAGAGGTAGGGCAAAGCCGACTGGGACAGGCCCTTCCCAGGAGCATGCATGCAACCCATGATGGCCCTGGACAGGCGGTGAAAAAAGCCTAGTGCTAATTCCTCTAAGAACAATTCACTGAAAAACATCTATAATAATAATAGAGGAATATGCACATTGTCTGGGATGCCATCACAGTAACAATTGAACAGTAGGCTGTGTGGGGCGACCAGGCAGGCCGGGGTGGGGGAGGGCAGTTGGGGGTGACAAGGCCAGTGGATGGGGGGCGGCTGGGGGTGACTGGGCCAAAGAAAAGTCACAAAATACACACAAACATCAACAAAATGAAAAGGGAACCCACTGTATGGGAGAACATATTTGCCAATGATACATCAGATAAGGGGTTAATTTCTGATATATATAAAGAACTTATACAACTCAAAACCAGGAAGACAAATAGTCAAATTGAAAAATGGGTAAAGGAACTAAATAGACACTTCGCTAAAGAAGATATAAAGATGACCAATAGATATATGAAAAAAGGCTAAACGACCAATCATGAGAGAGATGCCAATTAAATCTACAATGAAATATCACCTCATACATGCCAGAATTTATCATCTATACTAATAATAGAGGAATATGCACATTGTCTGGGATGCCATGACAGTAACAATTGAACAGTAGGCTGTGTGGGGTGACCAGGCAGGCCGGGGTGGGGGGGGCAGTTGGGGGTGACAAGGC